TAGCAGGGGGATCACAGCGGAAGGCTCTATTGGATGTGTTGGCCAGTGTCAATGGGGATAAGGATCGGGCTTGGTCACGCTCTTTTGGGTCAGTGTGCATGTGAACAACTTTGAACGATGGGTTGTTGGTCTTAACTTTTTTGCGATGCATGCAGGAGGCGTTCAAGAAACACATCGAGCATATGCAGCGTCGGAGCCGCAAAACCAAGATCCATGTAGACTCGGGGTTCTACACCAAGGAAAACATGAAGAAAAAACTTGGATGGAGTGCGTCAGAACCTCAGTGTAATCCTTTCACATATATATATATATATATGCATGGTCATGCATGGTCCCTCATGAGAATCCTTTTTGGGGAAGCTCATGGTTTCTGAGGACACGAATTGCAAAGGCAGTGCAATACTGTACCCACCCATCGCGGGTCAAAACCCATGTCAGGAGGGGTTTGTTGTTCCAAACGCAGTTATATATATATAGTATTTTGTTTTACAGCGTTCTCGTGGGTTGCTTGATGCACAAACAGTGTTGGTCTATAAGCATTGTTTGCTTTCAATATTTGTGGAGTTAAAACTATGAGTGGCATCCCTTGGCAGGCGGGACAAGTACGAGAGTAACGTGAAAGAGTATTGGGTTGATGTTGAGACCACTGGGAGCTTCGATAACGAGCATGAAGAGAGCCTGACAGATCGGACTTGCGTCGAGGGCCAAGCGGCCACCTTTGATCTTGGCATTCAGCCAGTGATGCCACCCGGTGTGCCTGAAGAGGAGGAGGAAGATGAGAATGGGTTAGAGGATGAGGATCAGGATGATGCTAGGACCACCGTGGGCCCCGGCGGCAAACCTTTGGAATTAGAAAGCGCGCTTGAGGCAGTAGCATACATGGCTTGGGAATGTTTATATGCAGTTTCATTGAGTATACTCCAACCCATTCCAACTCGATCGCTCTAATACATGTGAGGCGGTGGATAACGTGAGTACCGTTATGGGCAACCTGTTGAAGACCCAATCCAAAATGGAGACACTTTTGGAGAAGCTGAACAACTTGAATACTCCTGAAGCGAAGCAGAACCTTACCTGTATAATGTGTGTTGCGGATAGTTCATTTTGGCCCGCCCCACCAGTCCAAGCAACCAAGCTGTCAGATAAGGAGTGGTGAGAAGATTGCTGGCTTCAAATCGAAGCTGGTCTCACTCCATGACGAATTGGCTGATCTCAAATCTTATTTTGATGCCCAGAGTGTGTGTTGTCTTGACCCCGCCAAGGAGAAACTTAGCTTCAGAGATCAGGGTTTGAATTTTACAAAAGTAGTGGGCTGTGTCACCCTCAAACATGTGGTCCTGCAAATGTTAGGAAAATTGATGCGCTCAAGACGCTCGTGGGAAGCATTGAGATGGAGCCTGGCCCTCACTTGACCTTTGCATTTATGAACGCATACCATCGCATGAACATTACCAGATCCCAAAATATTGCGAAGGTCTTCCCGAGCTTTGATGGAAGAGGTCAAACTGAGAAAGTATCGTGCTTAATACTCTCTTGACAATTTACTGCGTATGATCGTGTGATTGCTTCTGGAATCTTTCGAATCGTATTTTTGCTTTTTGATTTCTACCGTCTGCAGGACCCTGCTTCGCACCAAGCCTGTCCCGAAGGAGAAGGCAGCGTCGGCGAAAAACAAAGCGGCAAAGGCTGCCGCCAAAGCTAGCGCTGAGCCTCGAAAGAGGGCAAAGCGGGATCAAGAAGCTCTGGAAGCCGATTCGACGAAGTCGAAACCCAAACGAGCTCGCAAGTAAGCCCGGAGTCATGTGTTGTTGTGGGCCCTAGAGTGCACTCGTAAAGGCTGCATGGAAGTTGTAGAAAGGCATTCTGTTTCCAAGACATTCGTGACCTGGGTCATAATTTGGATGGCCTCGACGGTTGCCTTTGAAGTGAGTGCAACCTGAATCCCCATGGCTATATAACAGCAGTCTTTGCACTATAGAAATTCACACGTGTCGTTGTCACATACGTGTGATGTTTGAAGGCTGTAGCAGGGCCCAGGGAGGTGGTTGTAAGGTGTAAGTCGCTCCACAGTCCAGTCCAAGACATCTGTTTCAAAAACCACACATACACTCATGCACATGCGCTTTGTTCAGTGCTATCTTATGATATCTTCAAGCCACACTTCCATTATGGGCCGTTTTGGGTATACTCAAGTGATGCGATGTTCATCATTGTGATTTCTGGCAACCCACAGTGGTTGTGAAGTGTTGCGATGGGGTGCAAAATGGCAGCCGGCAACCTGTAGGACCGTGGTCACCGTGGTCACCAGCCAACCAACGACTGCTGGCTCCCAATCTTTACCCTGCGCAGGTGCCAAACCCGAACCGAGCCACTTCGCAGCGCGGCTTCCAACTTCCACTGGCCCAGCAGCAAAAGCGATTGCATCTGCCATAGCTTCTGGAGTGTCTTTTTCAAGGATCGACCTGCTTTATGGTGATTGTTCATTATTGTTTCTACATGTGCTATATATGTATATAGATATCCTGCAAAAAATGAGTTTGGCGTGGGAAGAGTTTCCGAGGTAAGTGAAAAACATGCTTGCACCATTGCTGCAGCCTTCTGGGAAGAGGTGAGCAAATCTTCAACTGATTCTGCACGATTACCAAGCGCAAGGTTTTTGCAAATGGCTTCCCGTCTTTCGCAGACGGGTCATGAGTGTGAGATGTCGAACAAGTTTCAGGCATTCAACCTAACCGCTGACATCCCAATTACTGATGTTGACGTGGGATTGACTTGCTCCCACCCCACTCTGAGATTGAGTGATACCATCCAGTGCCTGGACAGGAATGGCAAAATGAATTCTTGGTTCTTCATGGGCAACACCTCAAAACAGTACCATGACTTTTGGAGCAAGTGGCGTGGTCAACAACCAATGCATCCTGTATTCGAGCTGCATGGGTCACACTTAGGACGATGTGTGCCTATTTGCATACATGCAGATGAAGGTACCTCTCAAAAGAAACGAGGGATGCTGGTTCTACAGACCCAAGTGTGCATGGGGCATGGGACAAGGAAGCGTAAAGCTGATCAAGATTCGCCTGGTGTCAATTTTGTTGGCAAATCACTTTGCACCCGATTGGTTTACAGTGTCATGATGGCGCATGTCTACAGTGGGAAGAAGGGCAAGAAGGAGGCCAACCCCAAGCCGCTTCTACGGCTTGTGGACCATCTTGCCACTGAACTTCGCATGCTCTTTGAGCAAGGGTTGGATGTGCACTTTGAGGGAGCCCTTCAGAGGATCTGGCTTGTCCCCATCGCATTCAAAGGCGATTGGCCGGCGCTTGTGAAGATCGGGCAGCTAAATCGCCATCATCTTCGTGATACCCCGACGAAAGAGGGTGGACATGGTATTTGTCACTTGTGTAAAGGTGGTATGCCTTCAAATGCTTGGCATGATGTTTCCTTCGGCAACATGACCAAGATGCGCTCTGAGTTACCGATGCCATGGCAGCGTGAGCCAGGCATTGTGAGCAATCTGGCTCTTGGGGACGCCTACAAGCATCTGTTTTTTCGCATTGACTTGTTTCACACATGCCATAAGGGGGTCATGGCCGATGCAGGGGCGAATGCAGTCGCATCTTCGCTGCAAACAGGGCAACGTTTTTGGATGTTCGTTGGTGTGCTGTTTGGTTAATAGTTTTTCAAGAAAAGTGATCTTATAGCCGTTGACTGAGTTGGCCTTGGTCGACTTTGTCTACGAAAATGAGAGTGTTGAGAAGTGCCTTGAGCTTATCTACAGCGATCTGAAGGCATTCTGTCGCGCTGAGTCGCTGCAGTTGCATTTGCAAAGCCTCACGCGGACTATCGTGGGCTATGCGAATTCCAGTGCATTTCCTGCAGGGTTCCTTGAATGTTTCTACATTAAAATTGTCCAACCATGTGTTTATGGTTTCATTCATTTGGTCATCTTCCCTGAGACAGTGGTTTGGACTCAGGAACTGGTTCAAAGGAGCAGACACAGTGTCGATCCTTGCTTACTTGGAACAAAGGCTTGCTGGAGAGATTCCAGCACTGGAAGACAAAGTGCGTGAATATTTTGTGTCCATGGCTGGCCTGCTTCAGAATGCCAACTTGTTCATGAGAACTGTATACCATGGAGCGCTTTGGCTGGACGATCGTGAGCGTGACATCCTAATTCAATCTGGGCGGGCTTTCATGGCTGAGTTCATGACGTGCGCGCGTCTTGCGTACTCTTTCGATATGTGCAGGTGGAAGTTGCAGCCAAAGTATCATATGTTTGCTGAGCTTGTTTTTGAACTGGAAGTTCAGAAGCGTGCCGGAATTACTTCCTTGTCGCCTCTTACCTTCAGCACGCAAATGGACGAGGATTTGGTCGGGCAAATCTGCTCCAGGTCTCAGGTCGTTAGCAGCAGAACGGTTCATGAGAGGACGCTGAACCGCTACCGGGTTGCGTTGTTCACTCATTGGTAGGCCCACCACGGACACTTTGGCAAGCGCAGTCAGAAAAGACATTGACATGCAGGGTGCGATTCAGGTTTGTTGAGGTGACACCCAAGGAGGGCACATGAGAGGTCTTCCCACATGAATGGCAACATGAACAAATGTTGCTATTGGCGGAGTTGTTGTGTTCATATTTTGGTGGTGGTTGATGACGCATGCAAGTTGTCCCAGTGATGTTGGCCTCTTTGGTATACACTTCTTTGGATTGGGCTATGTGCAAAGTGTTTGTGCATCAGTAGCCAAGTTAGGAAATACAGAAAACCGTGCACTTGGAGCAGTGTACTATTTAAAAGGTACACCAGGTTTTCCAGGTTCATATTATAACTAGTTTTTCGCTGCACGCCTTTCTGCTGCCACGGGAAAACATACCACGGGACCATGCCTAACGCATCTACGTGCCCTGCCTCACGGTCCGGCCTTGCGCATTCCGAGGCCTTCCGGTCCGTCCCGCTGTTCGGCGTCACCCGCGCGACGCGGCGTCCCCCGCGGCCGCGGTGCGCCTTCTCTTCGGTCTCAGACTGATCGGCCTTCAGCAACCTGACCGACACCGGTGAGGTAGACCGGTCTACGGTCTGGACAGCTGGAGAGGTAGTAGAGGAGTAGCGTTTCCCGACGTCGGTAGTAGAGGCGTCCGTTTTAGGTTCATTGCTATATAGCTACCTTCCCGGGGAAAAAGTACAACACCGGTAATTCATATTGTGAATACTATCGAACTATTTAACACTATGAGGCTATTTATAACTGGGTGGGTCGCTCGGTTTCTACAATGGTGATTTATGATCCCCATATTTACCGCATTTTACCGCATCATCTGTTCAACCATATTCTTCGGTGTCGACCTCATTGTCATGTCCGGTTTTTGCTAGGATTGCAACTGGGGAGTCTGCCATTCTAAAACCCATTCTATAAAACGCACACACACACACACACTGACCACTGACGTGTGATCACCTGCTTGGGGGGTATTCCAAGGCAGGATCAAAAAAACACGACTTTCTGGGCATTATCAAACTCTAGGGCTCCTGGCCCATATCCTCAAGATCGGCGGGCGCAAAGCCCCTGGCACCCACCCCAACCATCTTCGAAACGGAGCCAGTTAGAGCCCTATAGGGAAAACAAACAGCCTTGTGAATTCATGGCAATTCGGCATCCGTTTTGCGTCCTCCGCTCTAAGGCACCGCGCCCAGGCTCGCTGGCAGCTTGCTTTGCCTGGTTCCTAGCTGAGATCGATGAGCGAGTCTGACATATATGACACCATTATGATGTTTGAGGTCGTGTTTTCGTTTTGTTTGGATCTCCCAAACGCTCCATGCATGTGTTATTTTTTTTACCTACGTGGACCCTTACAAACATCTTTGAACCATGATCCCCATGTATATATGCAATGATATAATACATGTATATATATATATATACCTGTACCAACCACAACCTTCGAAAAAGACAGCTGCTCAGAAAAAACGAGTTTTCGTGACCAAAACCGGGTTTTACTAAATTCATGTTTTTGATGATTTCACTAAGACTTGTCAATGTCACCCAAAATATCAACACCCTCCATCAGAAATCTTCAGAGCGCGGCAATGGATGTCTTTCCTCATCCTTGAAGATATCCGCTCTTGACCCATTCGCCATGGGCTTCTGTCAAATAGCGTGTTAGAACACGCCTAATGACAGTCTTTGGGTGAACTCGCCGGCTTGTTCTCGATAACCTTCCGATGGCATCTTCAGAAAGCTGTACGCCAAAAATTATGGGGTTCAAAACCCAAGAGCACTTTTGCGATTTCAACACCAGATCATTCAACCACAAATGGTGGAGGGCATGTAACTTTGGCATCATTTTGTAAAGGCTTCTGTCCAAATGAAAAGCTGTCTTGGCTAATTTGTCGTAGTGCGACAAGTATCGAAGACCAAGATGGCCTAGCCGAGCTGCTTCGGCTGAGCTCAACCATACATCCCCCTCGTAGAGACCTGCAAAACATGCATTGATACATCTGGCTGCTTCCTCCTGGAAACCAAGCAAAGGATCTTCAAATCTCCCATTCTGGCGTTCCAAACTGCGGAAGGAAAGTCCGTGCTGCTTGGCCAGCCAATGGTGTCTTTGGTCAGCTGTGTGATAAATGAGCTCAATTTCTTTCTGCGACAGAAATTGTGATAGTCTTCATTCAATCCAGCAAACCTTTCATCAACATTTGATCCAACACAATGCTTCGACATGACCGCTATGGCGGAGGATGCAAAACTCTTGCCACTTCCTAAATGGAAGCAATGCCAAGGATCAAATTTGTACATGGATTCCGGCGCGCTGCGAACGCAAGGAAGCACTGTCATATAGGCGGTGGTGACTTGAAAGGTCGCTCGACATACATGGTGTCCAGCCAGAATGGATTCTGGATGGACTGCTCTGACAATTGCTCAAATGGAAAATTGTGTTTTCCACCAAGGCATCTGTGGCAGATGCCTTTGGGATCTTTTTGTGACCTCCCTCGAATTTGCTTCTCACAATTGCTGAATGTTCGGGTCATCCTTCCAATTTTGGCCAAAAATGGCCAGTCACCTGTGACACCGAGACATGCCATCCAGTATTGTTCATTTGTGAAAGGGCATGTTGCCCCTTCTGTGATCATTGTGGTCGCCGACTTGGCTGCAAAATGGAACACTGCATCAAGGAGCTTTTCATCTTTCTGGTATTTCCGTTTTGGTCATACTGCACAAACAAAATGATTCGCCAGACTGTGCCCAATATAATTTGTTCTCATCTTGAGGAAGTCTTTCCGCACTCGTTTGCGGTTCGCCGGCTCAGACCCTCTTCCAAGCATTGACTTCCAGGAGCTGACAAAAAATGCTTCTTTCTTTTTGCCACGGCCTTCATCTCCGTGATATACTAGTGCAGCTGTGTTGCATAGCTGCAATTGTCCGGAGGCCTCCAATGCAAATATTTCATGTTCAGGTTCAAATTGCTTGTATCGTGCCCGAAACTCTTTCCAGATAGCTTTTTCACGATCCCTGTGGGGACTCATCAATCCGGCTAACATGTGCCAGCAATTGCGCTTCAAAATCAACTCCGCCCAGTGCTTCAGCTCCAAGCCGACAACATCTTCGTTGTTGTCGGCAATGGGTGTAAGTGGCACTGGAAGAATCAACTTTTTCTTGCTCAAACATCGGTGCACTCCACGCTCTGCATTGGCCAAATCAATGCGTGAAAACTCCAGAAGGCCAGATGACTTAGCTGCAGCTGTAGGCCCGACGTCCCTGACAAAGTTGCGAGCACTCTCAACTGCCTTGCTGCAAGCTGCCTGGGCTGTGGAAGCACTCGAAAAGAACATGCTGAATGCAATTTGCAGGGAAATTGGGGGAAATGTGAAAGAATGGTATGAAAACATTGACAAATATCATATCCAATGTACACCTTTCCCAATCTCTCTGGCAAATCCTCTCAAAGTATGTCCCGCAGGTCTACGTGGCATAGGCGACTACCACGATGCATAAGATAGAACATGCTTCCCCTGAACGCGCATACACGGCAAGGGTAAGAATTGCCAAAATTGAGAAGTCTGGTCAACCATTTTCCAAGCAAGCTCAGCACGAACAGTGATTCCACTGTTTGGCATCCATGCTCACAAAAAACCCCAAGCGCAAATTGAATCCAAATTAATGCGGGGACACCCGCAAAGATCGAGCGTGCCAGTGAAACGCCTACTTTTTGGTTTTCTTTGCCTTTGCTTTTGCTTTCGCATCCGGTTCGACAGCATCATCTTTGTGTTTCCGTTTTCTTGCTTCTTCCTTCTTTTGTTTCTCGTTGTCCTTATGATTCGCCTTTGCCAAGTATTTCTTCCCATTCCTGGGAGGCCATGAGAGAACAGAAAAAGGCAAACAATTGTCATGACAATAAGCCCCCTGCTTGATCTTGGCTTCGACAGCAAGGCCCTTGGAGCACCTACCATCAGCCAATAATAAGCATGACCCCATGGCAATCATAAGCTTATCTTGCGTCAATGGCACACAAAGGTAGCTTGTCTCATCGTTGGCTCAGCTTTCTTCCAAAACCTAGCCACCCAAATCGTCCCAACGTCCAAACCCAAAGTGCGTTTGTGTGTACTAGCTTTCCCACCTGAAAACAGATGTACTATAGTAATAATTGCATAAGTTAATTGATTGAGTTGAGAGACTCAATTCCGTAACCATCTATGCTTCCCTCTGCTAAGAGCTCATTGCATGAGTCGTACTCCGCGTCCATCTTTGTAATCTCCGATTCCAGATCAGCCACGTACCTGATGGCCAACTATGATAGAATTTTTAGAGTTGAGTTTGAATGTTTTCAAGTTCGATCCAATGACAAAGAAATAATTCGAGCTGCCTTTGAACTTCTGACTCTGTGTACTTGGTTTGGAGTTCTCTCGCAAGGCTGCGAAGCTTGCAAGTCTTCGCAAGGATGGAATCCATAAATTTGACGAACTGAGTCTTGTACTGCAGGGTTTTACAATATCACTGTCACAAAATATCATGAACATGTCAAAGCCTGAGCCTGACCTGAGTCTCAGCCTCCGAGAGAGCAGCTGGAGCCCTTTCTGCCTGTTTGGCAGATCCAGCTGCCGCAACACGCTTCTCCATCTCAACAAGGCGATCAAAAGATCCCTCCGGAATAGCAACTCCGGCCTGGCCGTGGGCTGTGGGAAAGGAATGACATAGTACATATGACAATATGAAAGATGAAATGAACATTCCTCAGGACTTTGGGCCTCTGCATTTTCTGGGATCTTTCTCTGGATGTCCGTTTCCGAAGTTGTTTGCTTCTCAGGCTGGCCCCGTTCACGAATCTTCACATAATATTCCTTTTGGCCATCGTAGCAATTGTACCTTTCAATGTATGGGGGCACTACTGCTGATCTAGCAAATGAATACATTCAAAAGACGGATGCAACATTGCACGAACGAACAGCGAGCCTGACCAATTCATCGGGCTTTTGTTCGCAAACTCGAACAGCCCCTTGTATGCGTTCCCTCAACTATAGTCGAACAACATCAACACAATTGACAAGGTTTTGACATCACTGGCCTTGCAACGCATCAACCTAAGGACATGGCTCTGACCACTTGAGTTCATTTTTCATCTCGGCAATTGTGTACCAGCCCTCATCTACCACGACCTCAATCACCTTCTCTTTTTTGATCATTATCTCCACCCTTCGCAAAAATGAATCCAGCATGAGGAGAATGCAGAATGTACATGAAAGGACAGCTATAGCTTTATTATGCATATACTTCCTGACTCAGTCAGAGATCAACAAAAGTATCCTTGTCAAAATTGCACTTCTTTAGAACTTCTGCAAGAACGTTCTTGGCAGCTGGCGACTCGTTCCACTTCTCCCTCAGAGCTGCCGGAGCGTTCAAGTCCTTCCTCTTGGGATGAATCTGGATCATTCGTCGGATTCGGGCTTTGGCTGCCAAGTTCAACTTCTCCTAAGAAAAAATAACCGGTGGAATGCTTTTGGAACATCAGACTAGAAACATCTATAGAACCTAATTGCGCAAGCGGTTGCAAACAAAGTAACCTGTCTTGACAGGGCTTTCCCTGCAGAAATGTTTGGTTCTTCGACATCTGCGCGATCTGAAGGTGGCTGCGGTTCGTTTGGCTCACCACCGGTCTGCAATGAAGGTGCTGCTTCCGGCTGCGGAAGACCACCTGCGCACTCCGGTTCAGGCATCGCCAATTGGTCGACTCTCTCTGATTGCTTGGCCATGTTCTGCAAAGGTGTTGGAACCGAATGCTTGGAAGAATCCATGCATTCACCAAGTTTCACATCATCTGACTCCTGCAAAAAATTAGAAACAATGAGTGTGCAAAGGATTGTAAAGGCGATGCAAAGCAGAAATTGTATTGTTCAGTCGTTGATGCCAAAGAACACGTTCCTCGTCATCTTCCACGGTAAGATCAACAGTAGCGCAAGTTTCAACTTCCGAATCATTCTGAGTCTCCGGAACTTCATTGAACTGATTCCCCCAAGCTGCCAGCTGCGATTCTGTTGCCTTAAGCGCGAAAGATAACTGTAACCAAACACACTGCTAGACTTCGCTTCATGTGCAAGTAGCTGGAATAGTTTCAAGAGATCCGCCAATCAAAGGCTGAGCTATCTGGGCAATATCATCTTTCAAAGGATCAGCCTTGCAAATGAAAAAACATCGAACGGTTAAAGGTGGAGGCATTGTTTCACAAACATC